TGCGTGCCACGCATTGCTAAAAACATTACATTTCCACCACGTCATCATTGAGGGAAGGGTTCATCTCAGAGACACCACCCGGATGGAGCATGAACTAAGACAAAGCTAACGGCAGTCGAGAAATAACGGTTTGTTTTCAGATGAAATGAAATTATATGATCCATCTGATAAAGATGTCCGTAATTGTACCTCCCACCATGTTTACATATGATTAATAATCAGTTGGTTCGAAAACATAAACCTGTAAAATTTGTTCAAACCCGGCAATTATTTTACCAGTCGACTAACCGACAGGAAACACACCTTTCTCCCAAAATAGAACCCATTATGTATGCGTTCTTATCAATTGCTCGTCGTGGTCATCATCATCATCATCATCATCATTGTTATTTCGCGTCGTCTTGGCTGAAAGGGACAATATTCTTTATAAAGTATCCGGGACCTATATGTCACGTATTTTATGGAAGAACTTTTTTCATAAACATTAAAACCCTACTGGAACATACATATGCACACACACATGCACACGCGGACATGCATACATGCACACATACATGGACACATACATGCACACATACATGCACACATACATACACACATACATACATACACACATACATACAAACATACATACATACATACATACACACATACACACATATACACATACATACATACATACAACCTGCCGTACAAAGCAACTCTCAATAACCTCATACAATACGGCCTTCGTATTCATCTCTGTTCAGTAACACACCGCTGTAGATTTATACAACTGTGTCAATGAAAGTAAATACATAAATGAATTGGAAAGCACGAATACAAAACTGACAAACCAAACAGACCATGGAGCATTCAGACTAAACAAAACAGACCATTCACAGGCTTCCAGCACGACAATGCGTGACCGCGGTGGAACAATTCAGTATGCTAGATGTAAAAAATAAAGTTGTGTTACCATAAATGAATGAGTACCTGAACTTGGTATCTTCTTCCATAAGTTTGGTATCTTCCTCAATCGGAAAACATCAACAGTACAAAATGTATGACATTAAATTATATTACTAGCTGACTGTCAGCTTTAAGGTGGCTTTACAATACTTGAAAGGAATAATCATGGGACGACTTTCTCTGTAAACACGCTCAGTCATTCTTTAAGCAGTATCATTGCAGTGCATTGAAAGGAGAAATTGGGAAAAAAATTGCTGACCAAACCTGAATGCCAACGGCTTCACAAAGTTTATTCAATAGGCTACAATATCAACTACTGACATTCATCAAGAAGGAAGTTGTGAGGCAGTTGTGGCAGAGAATGTTGTATTTCAATGGTTGTGGCTGCGACAGTAATTTGAAGAGTGCATAAAATGTCGAATGTTCTGGTCACCCATACAGCAACTCTGTTGAAGTGATCACCTCGTTTCTAAGTGGCCTCCCTTTAATAATCAGGTGTACGTTTAAAACTCCGCATCAGCGCGCGACACCATTGTTCCACTCCACAGGAGAGCGACGCTACGAGAAAATGCGTTCACTGCATTGTCGCTTCAACAGACTTGGCGATCTTGCATTTTCGTCTTTGTAGGTTATATTCTGGAACGCCTACAGGAGACGTACAAGAGTCAGCCTCGGAATAACCAAGGCATTCTTCAAGCCTCCTGCTTGGTATTCTCTTTTGTCCGATCACCGACAGGATGAAAACATCGATATATCCTCCTGTTTGAACCAATACCGTTTCGTATTATCGAAGTGCCTCGCTGCCTATTCCAAACTATTCAAGCGAACATTAGTTAGGCACTTCTTTGCTTGGTCTTATTACTGTAAATCACTTTAATGCAATTGTATTGTGTCATGTTTGAGATCCAGTGCATTGTCTTTTTGTGACTGCAAAACCACATTATGTGTATTTCAGTATGTTCTGTAAATTGTTAACTTCTGTGTGGGGTTTATCTGATTCTCGACCCTGTTCCTGGTGTACCAGTTTCAGGTTCAACCTCGGAGTTGCAATTCGGAAATCAGTGGGAGCTCATCAGATGTATAAATGAAATTTGTTAACAAAAGTATACACAATAATTTCAATGTGAAATGTGTCTGTTTTGAATAATTTCAGAGAACGAGAGGAGGCAAAGATAAAATCACAAGAATTAGAAATTCTGACATAAAGGGAAGAAATAGAGATTTCAAATCAAGGAATTTGAAAATGCAAGACAGACGAAATCCCACTCTACCAAATCTGAATTTCTTTGATGTTACAAGTCAGGTTGGTTTCTTGTTTTGAAGACGCGGAAGTTGGCAATATCTTGTTAACATTCTGAGATGTTTGATACATATTTGAAATGGCCCGAGCAGTGACTAAAGGACAGAACACAGGATGTGTAGTCAAGGTATGATAGTCGTTCCGAAGTGCAAAAGGCCACTCAGGAGACGTATGAGTTCCTTGAGGCCTAAATGTGACAATTAATGCAGCCGAGGATAAACAAAGGATGTTGCTTATATGAAATTTGATAGGGAACAAGAGACTTTGTTTGATTGGTGGACTTTCTGGAAGGTATTTTGAGGCAAACATTGGCAAATTTCAAGCAGTCTCCAGAAACTGACATTAACAAGTATATCAGAAGAACACTTCACGACATTATTTTCGTCATTTCGTATTTTGGTCATTCTGGCCTCCGTCAAACCCCCAATTTCTAATTGACAGTGATCCATTTTCTTTTGTATTACTATCTCAATGTCAGACTAAAACCATCACAGAAAAACGGCTCCATAGCTTAAGAAGAATAGCGTTACTTATGGGCTAGTTAGTGTGGAGTTTGCCCTCACCTGACAATGTTCCATTGATAGCAGAGCGTAATGGTCACTACTAACACATTTCTAACAATCCTTGTCCTCAGGGCATAATAGTGTTTCAAAGACGCAACTTTATTTGAAATGTAAGGACAATCTTTGTTCGCTAATGAAGCATACATCAATCCCGTCATTGGATGAATTCCCACTGGGTCAGTGTTTGTTGCGCTGTATTACGTGGCAATATCCCAGAACAAGGACACGTTTCTAGCCAATGATAAACTTGCAAGCAGTCTGGTTTTGACTCTTAGGCATGAAATCTTTGTCATTTGAGAAAAAAAAAACGCATCCACTGGGATAAATTCGTCAAATACCAACGTGTCTGGTTATGGCGTAATAATGACATCATTAATAGTAAGAAGAAAACAGTGTGCCATATGCGGTCATGGACGAAATAACCTTACAGAATTAAATATTATTTGATGGATAATCAAGGTGGTTCGTGCGTGTAACCTGTTAATAACTCTTAAGTCCAAGATACCTTGATAAACATATTGTGCCATTTCCATTAAAGTTGCTAACCGACCCTTTGTAAATTTTTTACCCAAATATGCGTGTATCCATCAGTAGCCGTTAAATGCCGTATTTACCAACATCGTACGTTGATCAATGATTCATAGGATTAGTAGTGTCAGATTTCAAAGGATTATATATCCCTAAAGGAGTATGTAGGTTGTTCAGAGAACAATAGGTGCATCGGGCTACAATAACACATTCCTAACTTCTGGTTCATACCTTCGTCGTTTCCAGGCTCCTAGATCAATCCGATGTGCTCTGACATGACTGCAATACTCTTAAAGGACATACCACCTACTCCCTGTAACGTGCAGGTAAAACAAAACGTGTTGATCGCACGAGGTCAGGAGTCGTCCATGACGAACTAGTATGTTAAAGCTGCAGTGTATCTCACGAACACGTGGATTCATTTTATGATAGCTCGAGTACACTTACACATCAACAATTACGACGGATGGTTTGGGCTCGACTGCAGTGAAGATCATATTGGATTGAATAAGTTGACTTCGATCATTGGTGAGTTATTATTTCTTTATAAAATACAACGATTTGTTTGATATATATCAGATACATATAAATACCCACGACGAACAGCAAGTATTTGAACAGTTATGTTTTAATCAGCTTTGTTTACTCTACAATTACGAATGCGTGTTTCGATAACAAAATGTCCTGCATACAAACACACACAAGTAGGTTCGTGAAACTCACGGGGTCAGAATATACACATTTAGATAATACATACCTATACATAATTTATTTCAAATATGCCCACATGCGGCGAGACATGAAAGTAATATCTGCAGCCTCGTTGTGTTTTGTCTCGAGGTATGTTTCCAGCACCATGTTGCCGTTGTACAAAATATCCTTAGCTCTAAGACTAATTTAAGTCTATGTTAAGGTATCGGAGTATCGCCTTAGCGCTAAGATCGCTTTGTACAACGGGCACCCTGGGCTCAGAATATCATAATTTGGACACACTTGCACATTAACAACAACAAAGACACAAACCTAACCAAGTGAAATAAACAAACCAAGCACAGATTTACAATTTAAGATACAAATTAACAACCCATACCCGTTTTCGGCAACACACTTTAAGATTACCGGCAGAAATATGCCATGTGACCAATGACACATACAGAGATGTAAGAGCAATAGGAATGTACATACACACCATCCTCAAACCTTGCAATCAAACCTGCTTCGGCGACGTTCTGTCGGATGGCTGGAATATACGCATTATCATACATACGGATAAAATTCATATGGAAAACGTATGCAAAAAGACCAATGTTGTTGAAATGTTCAAAAGTGTCTCTCTTACACGACATTTTCGTAAGTGTAAAATGGGACAATTATAATTTGCTGATGAACAATGGCTATTTCTGGCGTAATTAAAATACAAAATACCTTTATTAACCTGAGAAGGTCTAGACCAGAAAATACTGTGATCACAGCATGAGCATCGATCTACGCAATTGGGATCCGATGACACGTATCAACCAAGTCAGCGAGCCTGACCACCCGATCCCGTTAGTCGCATCTTACGACAAGCATGGGTTATTGAAGATTATTTCTAACCCGGACCTTCACAGGTCAATATAAGTTATGAAACGAAGACTACAAGAAGAATTATGTTCTTTACGATTAAGAGTTTTTTTTACATCCTCGTGTGTACGCGCTACAACACAGCAACCTTGTCACACGAGTCTACACATTAAACATGGTCTGCCCTAAAGTTTGAGCTGGAACAATTATATCATATTTCAACACAGAATCCACCCGTAGGAGTGAAGGGGTGTGTCATCCTACCGCAGTGATGTGTCATGTTTAGCGCCGCTAGCTGGGTTGTATGTTGCAATCATAGTCAAACAGTGATAAATAATATGCTGGGAATTGTAAATTACCTTCTTTTTTAACCTATATGCATTGACAAGTTCAAGGGGAGCTGCAGATAAAATCTTCCAGGGTGCTTGACACATATCATGTGTAGCTACCGTTACAACACTTAACTTGAAACAAGCTTTCATTTCTCTGGCATTTTGTAACATAAAAGGATGATAATTAGTGATGTGGTTTTAGCAGTATCAGAAGTAGCGATGTGGTTTTAGCAGTATCAGAAGTAGCGATGTGGTTTTAGCAGTATCAGAAGTAGCGATGTAGTTTTAGCAGTATCAGAAGTAGTGATGTGGTTTTATCAGTATCAGAAGTAGCGATGTGGTTTTAGCAGTATCAGAAGTAGTGATGTGGTTTTAGCAGTTTCAGAAGTAGTGATGTGGTTTTAGCAGTATCAGAAGTAGTGATGTGGTTTAGCAGTATCAGAAGTAGTGATCTATGGGTATCAGCAACGGCCACTATTTCTCTCACTACATGTCAATGTTGGCTCTTATACAATATTGTATCAAGGTACAAGAGCATTGTACTCTATTTTGTTGACAATTTCTTTTTCAGGCTTCAATGAAAATGGCGGACAAAATCATCCCAAATGTGTTTCTTCTCAACCTGATTGTGGCCTTTATATGTGGTAAGCACGGTTTATAAATAATCTTCACAAAGGCTACACCATTATGTAACGATTTGGAGTGGGTTTAATGGAAACACGATAACCAATGTATTTGCACGCACAATACTTCAGTGTGAAACAACAAAGAAACGTTGATTACGTTAAGTAAATGGATATCATTGGCACCCAATGGCCGAACGCAGCAGGGTGAATGAACAAGTCCAAAGGCAATGTACAATATAGCAGCAGTGTCAATAGCAAGAATGTCAGTGTTCAATAATGTTAACCTTGCAGCAACATTTGACAAACTTTCAAAATATGCCAAGATTCTGATATGCAGGGAGACCCGTAAAGATCCGGGGTAGAATAGGTCTTCAGCAACCCATGCTTGCCGCAAAAGGCGACTATGCTTGTCGTAAGAGGCGACTAACGGGGTCGGGCTCGCTGACTTGGTTGACACATGTCATCGGTTCCCAATTGCGCAGATCGATGCTCATGCTGTTGATCACTGGATTATCTGGTCCAGACTCGATTATTTACAGATCGCCGCCATATAGCTAGAATATTGCTGAGTGCGGCGTAAAACTCAACTCACTCACTCACTCACTCTGCAGGGTGAAACATTTGCACAACTGATGTGACACGGAAGAAGCATCCACTTGCCAGTGTATAAAAATTCTATAACTGTTCAGAAAAAAAAGTTTATAGCCGTTTTAAAAGATTCTAAATAACAACTGACTCCATCAGAATTAAATCTAGTAACGTTTACACCAGTGCTTAAGTAAGGTTCTAACGCTCCATGACAAATAATGCTTTTTAAGACTGAATGTTATGAGCTTCTACACAAAAAGCTTGTTTTCCAATTAATTACACGAGCATTATCCTATACTACTATTGTCATATTCTGGCTGCAATAGGGTAATCTAGCGGTTAAAGAAAAGACCAAAGATACAGGTTTAATTCCCCAAATGGGTACAATGATGTCAATGGATTGTGTATCTTGATATTGGTGTAATATTGCTGAAACGTGGAGTCAAATACGACTCACAAATCCACGTTGGATATTATCGGTTTGATACTTTATTCTGAGCTTATGGTACGGTATGAAGCTTACCCCTCACTTGACAATGCATCGTCTACCACTGTATCGAAAACGCCATTACGTAACCTAAGAGTAAGTGAATATGGTTTTACGCCACCTTTATCAATGTTTCAGGAATATCACGGCGGGGGACATCAGAAATGGGTTTCACACATTGTACCTATGTGTGGAATCGAACCCAGGTTTTCAGTGTGATCAGCAAACGCTTTAACCATTAGGCTATCCCACTGCGCCGCATAACCTAAGACATTATCGAAGTGGTTGTATAACTTTATAATAGTCAATTGCGTCCATATGATTTAGAGTTGATCACATTTACTTTGGCGCCGAGTTTCATGTCTTCCCTGTCCAAATATAGTCTACCATGGTTGTAAGAGGAAGTTGTAAATATTTATGACAAAGGAAGTTGTTCAGTCAAACCCAAGTAAATGAGGGCATGTACGGCAGATATATAAACAGTGTAGATAAGACTTCTGCGTCGTGTTATTCGTAGTATCATTAACATATTCAATTTATGATCTGACATGATTTGTGCTTACAAACTTTCAATATATCATGTGCGCGTTGCTGATTTTAAATATTCAAAATTTCTTCTATTAGATGGTCTTATTGTCTTTACTTTCATGTAGAATTAAGTGTCCATTGAATGTATGCTGCATGAGTTTATATTAACTCACTGATATTTAATTACTATTATTAGTATTGGAACTACTGAGATAGATATTCAAAGACGTTTATTCATTGTATGAACGGGATTTGTGACTGTGTATCGAATATACTTGATATATTGTATGTGAATATTTGTATGAATATACTTATGTGAATGCATTCTTCATGTACTATGTAAAATGTGGAAATAAAGATTTAAAAAAAAATAAATAAAAAAAAAATATTAACTCACTGTTGGCTCATTTTAATATATTTTTTTTAAGATATGCACATGGTAAATTAATCTGTTGTCCTACAACACTTACGATAATAATTTACTAAATACCTGAGTTAATATTTGACTTCACATCCGCAATATCTCAGCCATATCGTGACGAAAATAATTTATATAATACAAAAATGAAAACATAGTGAGGAGTTAAACCTGTCGACGATGGACAGTAAAAAATACTAGAGTATCACAGATATGAACATAAAACTAGCATGTAAAACTAAAACAGTGTAATTAAAGAAGACAATACAATATAAAACACGGGTTGTAGATCGCCAGCATCTGAAGGTAGATCACCACACTAGGGACCATGGGGAGTTACATTACTTTTGCTTCCTGCATGAATCTAGTTGGATTTACACCATTCCTTCAGCCGCTGGCGATCGTATGATAATTGGCCGAAATTTAAAAGAACAAAAATACTGCGTTTTAAAACTTGGTACGTGAAAATGTTACGTTGAAAGTTTTTTGGGACTTACGTACCCTCTCAGGAGGACAATAATTTTACAATACTTCAACCCCCTTTGAGGATACAGCCACTAACAATCTGAGTTGATAATCTGAACAACCAATTATAAAACTTTATCTATTTACAAAACATATATCAAAATTCATTTAACAAATCTATCTCTTTTAAAAAATCAATGATTAAATGATAATAAACTTTAGTAAAAAGGTCCTTTACTGTTTTGATATTGAAATATTTAACACTTATGATGGAGAATTCAACACAGTCACTTCATCATAACCGGTTTATTGTGTTACAGATGTTATGTTTGGGATTACACTTCCTCCGTACTGTACAGATTCTAGTACGGTTGTTGGGTTGAATTCCCATCCAGGATTCGAACCCAACACCCTCAGAGACAGGCACCTAATCGCCAGGACACCCTGCTGTCTTACCGCAGCGGCTGAGTTGGTTTGGTGGCTGACTTTGTGCGCTGGCGAATAGTGTAATCACAAATACCGGTATAACATTTGTTACATTTGACCACTTTCTAAAAGGCAGTGTGTATTCAAGGGTTCCTTGTGCATTAGACCGATAACTCCATTCATTGTGCGATAAGTCTTTCTTCTGACGACGTCTGATTAGTAACTGATTATTGTTCGCGGAATAATTACTATAACAAAACTACGCATGCTTACTTGTCCTAAAATCCAAGCTGTCATAACAATGTTTCTGAACTCTGAAGTAAATACTGCAATTGTTCCATTCACTGCAAGACCTATCTATAATTATTTGCATAAAAAAAGTCATTTACAATTTGATGCATTAACATCAAATAAATGATATACCGCCGGACACTCCGTACTATTATTAAGTTTGTAACGTATAAATGAAGAAGCAATTATTCCACAATAAGCTTAAAGAAAGAAACAATGAACGTATGCCATACTGATTAATTTCGATGATCGATCGATTCTTTTAGATTTCTCAATTACCTTTTCCCAATCATTATTGTTTGCGAATGACATTTGTATATATGTATGTACTTTAATTAACTTTCTCCATTTTGTTCTGCTCTCTTTGAACCTCAGATAACTCGAAGTATTTAGATAGGTCCTTTCAACTGTGACACGACATGTGCATGTAGATATGTTCTTCGTGTTAACCAGCTGTTCATTGTTTTAATGTACGATATACACATGGTAAGAATACCTGAAGCCCTAAACAATAATATTAGGGACTGCAGTACTCCTTGTTTCCAAGTTACAGCTCAGATGACCACCCAGTGCCCTGGGGGAGTGGCTCTTCTGGGATCACATCACACAATAGTCGCTGACAGAAGCAACTACACAGGATTTGCATGGGTTCGACCAAAAGGTGACAGGTACATTGTCACCTGCAACCCCAGCTGCAGCCCTATTGCTGGATACAATGCAACCACGAACGTCACACAATCCACACTTATCATAGACAGTGTCGGGATGGATGATATTGGAACCTGGAGATTAGTGGACGCAAACGTGTTGGGTGCCATCCCAGAGGACGTGTGCCAGTTGACAGCAGCTGGTGAGTATATAGATATTATTTGTCGAGTTTATTATTCATGAGCCTCAAACCCTGACAAGGGTCCAGCAGCAATTGTAACTGACGCCGAGGTGGGAAGGCTTCCTCAGTCAAGAAATAATATGGTCATGTTACCATATTAACTATTGCTACAATCATCCATGCCGTCATAAATATACATAAATCCCTTTTCGATAAATATATTGATAGGTAAACTCTTATCTGCTGACATATGTCGTCACTTGGACGAGCTCAGCGTTCATTTTGCATTTCTAACAAACAATGGTAATACTCGTATCATATACATTGAGAAAGTAATGGTTTTTTGAGTAACTTTATAAACTATATCAAGTTTGAGTGAAATGCCCGAGTCTTCATGTGCTTTTTACTTCTGTTTCTCCATATTGTCCTGCAATCAGGAATCCCACAGTGCAGCATCAGCAGTGACGAGAACCCCGCCTCCCTGGAACCTGGAACACAGCTGACTCTGACGGTGGACATCGCGGGCTACTACTGTTCTGTGGAGACTGGCTTTGATCTCACTACTGGTGCTGTGACTGAAGAGTTGGGAACGAGACACAACGTCAGTGTTGTAACAGACTTAACCATCACCACGACCTTCAGTGTAGACATCACACGATTAGGTGAAGTAACGCTGGACTTCACATGTGACAGAAGTTGGACTGTGACTTGTAATGGTGTCCAGAAACTGCTGAAAAGTAAGTGGAAATGATGTTTAGTGTACACAACGAAAGGAGTTAGAGAGTTGCATCTCGGCGTAACAACTTGATGTGTACAAAATCAGGGTAAACCTACCGGGCGCATGAACGAAGCAGACAATCCATTGATCAAACAGGAGCAAATATATAGTTCAAAACATTGATAGGCGGATCACGGATTTCTGATGCATGCCCTATAGATATGTTTAGGAATACAACTAATATATTTCATTACATTATTTCATTGTTTTCTCATTTATTCTTTAATCCATTCTTTCGTTCGTTCAACAAATCCCTCTCATTCATATATTCAACACATCCTTTCAATTCATGCATACATTCAACGAATCCCTTATCATTCATTGATACATTCACCAAATCCCTTCTCATTCATGCATTCAACAAATACCTTCAACAAATTCCCCTCTCATTCATACATTCAACAAATCCCTTCTCATACTTCAACAAATTCATTCTCATTCACGGAACATTCAACATATTCCTTCTCATTCGTTCATATATTCAACAAATCCCTTTATATTACATTCAGGCCATAGTATTTCACCGGCATGGACAAACCCAGCTCACCAGAATCTGTATAGTGCTGATTACATAATAAGAGATACCCTATGGCACTAATATAATATCATCGGTTCTATGCATAGGCCTGTGGATATTTGTTAGAATTATGTTTTACAATTTTATTCACCTTGTATTGTATTGTTCACGTTTCTTCTTTTCATGCATTCGTTCATTCATTCGTGTATTTTGTATGGTATTGTGCATGTTTCTTTTTTTTAGGTCTTCCCCATTCATTCACTCATTCATCCATTCATTCATGTAAAAAAAGATCCTATTTGTTTCTATCATTTTAATCCTGCAACCAGCTCCACCACATTGCAACATCAGCAGCGACACAGACACCGCCGCATTGCATCCTGGTACAAATCTCACCTTGACAGTCGACATCAGAAACTACTAGTCTACCCAAGCTGCTGGATTCCAACATGTCTGATCTGATGAGTTTGGTTTAATGCCTCTGCTAACAATATGATGGTGCAGGAAAACCCGAAGAAAGACAGGTCCAAGGAATTCACGGGCTAAGCGAAGCCCTCGAAAATCTGTACAGTGCTGGTCACTTTGGCTTAATCTATAATCATCAGTTCTAGGCACAGCAAATGACCAATTGTTTATGATACTGTTTATCATTTTCTTGTTTATTATGAGAATCAATTTTGTTTCATTCAGATTTAAGTCAAGTTGATTTAGTCAAAAATGCCCATCAGTTGTCAAGTGAGTTTGCTGCTTCAGCATGGTGCCAAAACCTCATTCCTCCATTCAATGCAAATCCTTTTACTGATATTTCAAGTTAATTTTGTTTTGTCATCCATATATCTATCCATCAATCCATCCATCTACCCTTCCATCCATTTATCCATTCCTTTCGACCGCCTCTGTGGTGTAGTGGTTAGATCGTCCGCCCGGAGAGCGGAAGGTCGCGGGTTCTATCCTCGACCGCGTCATACCAACAGACGTTAAAATATGGTACTTGTTGGTCCCTGCCTGGCGCTCGGCATTAATGGGTACAACAAGGACTGGTCGGCTCGGAGTTAGTATAATGTGTATGAGTGGGGTATTCATATTTCACTGCGGCATGGTATAGGACTATAAAAACAGCTTCAGTCTGGGCTAGTACAAGCAGGCGCACATACACATACACACGCATGCACGTCATCATATGAGCGAAATATTCTCAAGTACGACGTAAAACCCAATTTCACCTCACCTCACCTCCATTCCTCTTCCTTGTATTCATTCGTTCATTCCTTTATAATCATGATCTACAATTTTTTCATTTTGTGTTGTATTGTACAAGTTTCTTCCACTCCTCCCTTCCTTTCTTCATTCATTTAAATAGGATCCTATTCATTTTATTTATTTTATCCTGCAACCAGCTCCACCACATTGCAACATCAGCAGCGACACAGACACCACCGCACTGGATCCTGGTACAAATCTCACCCTGACAGTCGACATCAGGAACTACTACTGTTCCCAAACTGCTGGGTTCCAACTGACAACTGGAATCATTACAGAAACCCTCCTGGAGAACCAGACAATGGACAATATAACTGACACTATTCTAACCCAGCCCTTGAGTGTGACAGCTGACCACTTCGGAGACGTCACTGTGACGTTCATGTGCGACAGCATCACCAGGCCCCTTGTCTGTGACGGAGTTGACAAGTTTAGTGGTACGTATGTGTGTGTATTTATATTATTGACTTGAATGTATCGATGGCTGTTGTGAGTTCACATATATTTAATCTGTATTATACCTACATTATATAATATCTAAACGCAGGTGACAGTGGGTTAGGCACGCTCGGCACGCAGAAAACCCTGATTCTGGCGAGAAAAAGATTTGAGTGTACAAAACGAAACATGGGTCCATTAGCATTACTTGACAATACTTGACGTGGGGCAAACGAAAACGGCATCACACTCATTTCATTTCTTGTAGGATTAGCACCTTCGACTGGAGAACCTACAGCCACGGCACAAGGTCAGTTTTACAATGCAACACTCAAAGTAAATACAAACCAGCTGCGACACTTTTGAGGCAGATATATGCAAATTCTAACAGTATATTCAGTGTAAAGAAATCTTCACTTTTCCACTCCGTACATGGCTATATTCATACGCTGCTTCTAGCAATACTCCCGCAATATTCGGCAGAAGACACTTCAGCATGTTCAGATGTGCGGAATGGAAGTCTCAGCTTGACTGGTCGTATGTCTCTTAAACCAATAACTTCTCACCGTCAGTACACCATGAAAATGCAAGGGAGGTTGGGGTCCCATAATGGTTACAGTGTTCGCCAAATGCCCGGGTTCGATTCCTCGCATGGGTACAATGTATGAAGCCCAGCCTGGTGTCTCCCGCCGGACAATGGCTAAAAGCGGCGTAAAATCATACTCACCCACTCATTATGAATATGCATGCAATTTTGGGTATACAGGCAGACTTTAGTTACTATCCACTAAAGAAAAACATCCGTTAATAGACTATTTTGATTGCTATTTGTAATGTTGTTCTTGTCAGTCAGTACTGATATTGTCCTCAGTTGTTGGCGATTTATAGCCCATTTTTACATTGTATTGTCTTCTTTAATTGGAATATTTTAGCTTTATTCGCTAGTTTTATATTGATAGCTGTGATTATCTAGTATTTTTACTGTCGGCAGGTTTTTTATGATATACATATATTTCATTCTAATATCGCATGTTCTCGTCACGATATAGCTGAAATATTGCCGATGTGACGTTAAATATTAACTCACTCACTCACTCACTCACTGATATCGTCCTCTCAGTCACAACGTTAACAGCTCAGCAGCTATTGGTTATGTTGTTTACTCAGTCAGTATTGATATTTTCTTTTTTAGTCACATCGTCACCACCTGACCAGCCGCCCCCTACCACCAGACCCCCTCCTGCCGAAGATGATACTGTAGCTCTTGCTGTCGGATTATCTGTGGGAGTTGCCGTAATCCTTGTCATCGCCATAGTTCTCGTTGTCCGCTCTCGCCGAAATAAACTGACATTAAAATAAGCATCGCAAGTACACATGGGATGAATTAAATCTAATAAACATGAGATTGTTTTATGTTACATTATTCAATTCCTAACTCATCTGTGCAAACAGGTGGTCACATAATTTTCCTTTTTATGACATCCTTCTCGGTGTTATTACGTTACATGTGTATTCTGTCTTGTATTGAAATGTATTACACCTTTTCCGTCTAGGATAGGTGGGGTAGCCTAAATTTTATAGTGTTCGCCCCACCCTCGAAAGACCCGGGTTCTATTCCACCTATGGGCAGAGTTTGTGAAACCCATTTCTTGTGTCCACGGGGCGGTAGGATAGCCTAATGGCTAGAGCGTTCGCTCGTCACGCCGAAGGCCAGGGTTCGATTCTCAATATTGGTACAACGTGTGCAGCCTATTTGTGCTGTCCCCCGTCGCGATCTTGCTGGAATATTGCTAAAAGCGGCGTAAAATCATACTCACTCCTGTGTCTCATTTTGTGATATTGCTTGAATATTGCTGAAAGCGGCGTAAAAATAAACTCACTCACTTACTTGCTTCTGTTGACATTCCGTCGAGGACAGCTCTGCGCTATATTTAGATCATTGCTATAATTAGACTAAAGCATTTCTGGAAGGTACTCCAAGATACTACAACCAGATGGAACTTTCCAGCATAGCCCAGAATATTTTGACAGAAGTCCCACAAACAGGCAATCCTTAAATATATACCAAATCCTACGGCATACACGAATTCTGTTGCTTGTGTCTGAATGCATACCGTTTGGTATTTTACTCACTCAGTCACTGAAACACTCAGCCACTCTCAAACAGCCCACCCACACATCCACTCACTCACTCACATGATCTTCTCTGTCGAACTCACACTCAAACAAAACAATATCCCACGTTTCTACTCTGATATGAACCACAGCAAAGCCTGGTCCAAGTCAGTCTTGTTATCGTAGGACACAAATCAGTGACCTAGTGACGTCAGAATGATTGACGTTTTATTTACTTTCTTCATATCAACCACAGGTTTGTTTAATTTCTGAATCTAAAATCATAATCATGGAATAACCAGAACCGTGCTGGAATTTTGGTATATTGTTTTTCCTAAAAGCACCAATCACACCTAACTTATTTTGACAGCGGGTTGGAAGCTATTCAGATCGGCGATGTGAATTTAAAAACAAAAACAAAACCAAAAAAAAACCACACAAACTGAACAACAGAAAGATTAGGCCCAGTTATTCTAATACACTGGAACCCGAAAAGTTAACCGTCTTCGAGTGTTAATGGTGAAGTCCCATCAATATATAACAACAACATTAACGTGATGATGAGATCATCTTCGGTTATCTAGGGTAGTATAAATTGATTATATTATGCTGATCATATATTCTGCCACGCTCTTGCTGGCATAGTGCTAAAAGCGGCGTGAAACTAAACTCTCTCAATCACTCAAACCAGGAACAAGATTTGTTTTGTGTGTAAACATTTTCACCCGGCAGCTCCTGCAGTAATCGAGGACCACTTATGGGCAGGTTGTTGACTTGCATGTTCCTGTTGCAAATGAATTATGAAACCATAAAACTTTATTAATATACCGATTGTCTACGGTCAAGCTGACATAAGGCATGCCTATTGCTATAGGCATTGTTAGATAACGGAAGGGGTAACGCTGTTTTTTCCTGCAATTCAGGTCTATAGAGGTCGTCTACATGCTTAAGGAAGCCCGAAGTGGTGCAGGTGTTTAGTGATCTCAGTGATCACTAGTATGGCGTCGACAAGCGTTTCATCAGAGAGACTGTGGAATTCGTTTCTATGGATCCAGGCGTGGTAAAGCTAAATAACCCAGCAGAACGAATCTTGTCCCACTTCAAGACTGCTTGACCTGTTCCTCCATATGGGGGTTTATACAAGTGCATGTTGTTTAACGCCGCACTAGATGATATTCCAGCGTAGGGAAGCCTACCTGTAAAACCAATGACTAATATTATGATATATAAAATAATATTAATTTGAACTCAAGTCGTATATCTATCTGGTAGGCACACGACATGACGTGGGATAGCCCAATGTATAAAACGTTCACTCGTCACACTGAAGACCCGGGTTTGATTCCCCCCATGGGTACAATACGTAGAGCCAATTTCTGATGTCCTCGCCACGATATTGCTTGAATATTGCTAAAGGTTGCGAAAACCCATACTCGCTCTCTCACTCACAACTGGGGATATGTGTAACACCAATATTTGTCAGACACTGGGCTTCTAAAACAGCACTATGCATGTTTCAACGGAAAGGAATCTTGCTCACTAAAATTATTATTGATTGATGATTGGTTGATTGTTGTTTACCGCTGCACTCAGCAATATTCCAGCTGTATGGCGGCGGTATGTAAATAGTAAATAATCGAGTCTGGACCAGACAATCCAGTGATCAACAGCATGAGCAAAGCTCTACACAATTGGGATAGGATAATATGTGTCAACCAAGTAAGCGAGCCTGACCATCCGATCCCGTTAGTCGCCTCTTAGGACAAGCATGGGTTACTGAAGGCCAGTTCTAACCCGGATCTTCACAGGTTTCAACTTCCCACAGTGTTTGCCATGAGAAAGAACAGCCAAAGTGAGGGCAACGTTACCGTGTCAATATTAGGTAACATGTATTATTCTCGATAATATTTAATTATTAATTAAATATACTCTTTCATTCAAAGGATCACCAAGGATCACAGTTCGTCTGTACGTCCAGGAGACGCAATACGGCAGACCGGAATAACACAAGAATAAAAATGGAATGATTTCACTGTGAAACTACCTTTCATATGTGAACAATATACACAATAATATCCACTCTAAGAATCCGGATTGGTGTCAATCTCTTAAAAGGCAACCTACCTTGCCTTTGCTGCTTCGGAATATTTTGGAGTTAATAAAACACAACATTGCGAAGCAGTATGTGTCACTTAGGAGATAAACTTCATGTGTTGACGAATTTCAGGTTGTTTTTGAGTATTTGAAGCACGGGAATTCATTTGGAACCGACGGCGTCAGCCGGAGGTTTCAAATGAAATATTCCCGTGCTTCAAATACTCAATAACACCCGGAAATTTGCCAACACATGATGTTTATCGACATTATAAACACAAAAGTAAACCGAAAGGTCCACACACGTTTTTTGTGTCTCCCATGGTAGTATCTGTAACTACTCATTTGTGACGTCATTCGGACTGTACGTCACAATATGACTTTAATGACGTCATCGCAGCTGACGACGTAACAATACAATGGTGTGAGCGATGTTTGTATGTATTAATACGCAGAGAATTCCCGGGAATCAAATACCATTTGATCACGATTTTCAACCAATCAGATTCAAGGCATGTTAGCACTGTTTTGACACATCTGAGATGTAGCGACAATGCTTCATGTTTAGACTTAGAAACTAGTTGGCGCCCTTTTGCGGTGTGGAAATATTAATATTTCAACAATGCAATAAATGACAAACATATTGCGTTGTTTCCTCCTATCCTCGTCCTGGAACTGTCCTTAGTTTACTTGTGGGAAGTGGAAGTCATAGCTCTGTTCAAATTGTCTTGTGGCAAGTGTTTCATCACAGCCATCATCACCATTATTCACACATTTAACTAGGAACAGATGAGGTTGTGGCATCGGTCTTCTGTGTCTATATTTCAAGTGGAAGGAAGTTGTCTGTTTCATGGCACTTGAATGACATCAGATCAACGAAAACTGTTTTTTCTTTGTATTGTGTGTAATTGTATATAGGGTCATAAAGTTTTGTATCAGAAGCCCCGTGGATCAAAATAAAGAGACTTTGTCATAAAAGATAAAGCTGAACAATGTTTATAAATTGAATGATTTAAGGAAATAAAACATTGTATTAATTCCACTCGCCTCAAACGCTTTCAGTGCATTGCTTTGTGCATCGTACATGTAGCTACATTATCGAAAGACCGGGTCAAGTACCAAGGAATAACACTTGTGTCAAAACAACTGGCTTAGTTTGAGATGGGGTCGTTTGAATGTGTGACCTGCTTACTGTTTCGTTATGAATATTTTTTAGGGATATCAGTTGTTAATGGGGTGGGGTGGGCGAGAAAGGAGGGAGGGGGAAGGGGTGCTGGATTGCCCCGGATTGTAGACATGCACCACACTAGTAACTCAAACCATGGATTCTAGTCTTATCCGGTGTTTCAACCCATAATAAGCGGATCCTGCGACAACAATTGTGGTAGATGTTGCCCACCCTGAACGTGTGCTTATTTCTCCGTAGTCAGTTACTGAAAAGTCGCTGTGATACAGCTGGCATATTTCTAACCCGAAATTTCAAAAATGCTCCTCAAGGATTATTGACCCAGTCACGAACTTGGGGAAACCAACTGCAAACTTTATGCAGATAGATGGTACGAGGATCATGCATCAAATTATTGAAAAGCATGTGCAAATATCGTGCGTGTGAACAGCTGCGTTGTGGTGTAAAGTTTTGTCAATGTTCACTGATTTTCAACATTTACTGAACTCATGACATTAGTTTTTTCAACGTTACGAATTTTTTTTACAATACATCAGTTCATGTGTAAACAGTATCTTTAAACAGTATGAAATATTCTGCAAAATGTAGCTTAGAACAGTTGCCTGAAGTAAGTGGCTATATTTACACTTGTGAGTCTAAACTTTTGAAGAGAAGTATATATGACTACCTCGTCTAATGTGACGTCTTGTCACCGCGAGGCAACGATTCGTGAATTTCATATTCCAATGTCCATGGCAAATACAGCTAAACCTATACCACATATCTACAAGCGTGTACAGCGTCTTGGGTTGTGAATGAATGAGTTTAGTTTTACGCCGCACTCAGCAATATTCCAGCTATATAGCGGCGGTCTGTAAATAATCGAGTCTGGACCAGACAATACAGTGATCAACAGCATCACCATCGATCTGCGCAATTAGGACCCGATGACATGTGTCAACCAGGTCAGCGAGCCTGACCAACCCATCCCGTTAGTCGCCTCTTACGACAAGCATGGGTAACTGAAGG